CCATTCACCTCCCAACGACCAATAAGATCACACAGGTTGGGCCTCCTCCGGGTGCCGTCGACCGGCCAATGCTGGCTGGCGGCTCCCCGTGGGAGGCCCGACCGCCTCCTGCCATTTACCTCCCAACGACCAATAAGATCACACAGGTTGGGCCTCCTCCGGGTGCCGTCGACCGGACAATGCTGGCTGGCGGCTCCCCGTGGGAGGCCCGACCGCCTCCTGCCATTTACCTCCCAACGACCAATAAGATCACACAGGTTGGGCCTCCTCCGGGTGCCGTCGACCGGACAATGCTGGCTGGCGGCTCCCCGTGGGAGGCCCTGCCGCCTCCTGCCATTTACCTCCCAACGACCAATAAGATCACACAGGTTGGGCCTCCTCCGGGTGCCGTCGACCGGACAATGCTGGCTGGCGGCTCCCCGTGGGAGGCCCGACTTCCTCCTGCCATTTACCTCCCAACGACCAATAAGATCACACAGGTTGGGCCTCCTCCGGGTTCCGTTGACCGGACAATGCCGGCTGGCGGCTCCCCGTGGGAGGCCAGACCGCCTCCTGCCATTTACCTCCCAACGACCAATAAGATCACACAGGTTGGGCCTCCTCCGGGTGCCGTCGACCGGACAATGCTGGCTGGTGGCTCCCCGAGGGAAGGCCTTCTCTGTAGCTGCACCGGCCTTGTGGAACAAGCTACCTGCAGAAATCCGGACCCTCACCACTCTCCCGGCCTTCCGTAAAGCGACCAAGACCTGGCTGTTCCAGCAGGCCTGGGGCTGTTGATTAATTTCTAGCCCTACTTGATGGAATTGATGTTGTATGGATTTTAATTCTGTATTTTTTAAATATTTTAAATGTTTTTACTTGTTGTGAGCCACGCAGAGTCCCTAGGGAGTGGGCGGCATACAAATCCTATTAAATCTTAAATTTTAAAAACCATCGTATGGTCAGATTTTTGAGGAAAACCCCCAATATACTCAGATTTACAGAAAAAAAATCTCCAAAATAAAATGTCATAAATTAAAAGTAAATTGAAACTTGCAAAGTGGGATAAATCTTAATAAACCTTAAATTATGTATTTATGAATTGTAGGAACTGCAATGCTGAATTCAACAAGTTCTTACCAGTTTACTGAAATGGTATTTACAGTAACCACAGTATTGGACATTGTCTGCACCGTTACCTTCTTCTTCACAAAGAAGTCCTGCAAACTGTGCACTGAAAAAAAAACATGAAGGGTTAGCTACCAAACATGGTTGCTTAACAAAATTTTGCACTACAGTTATTAACTGACTTTTTAATTTGGAGGAATTATGCTGTAAAACTAATCAAGCACAGGGGGAAAAAAGAATTGTCCTTTCTGTTTACTTACCATGTTACATGGAAAGCTTGGCGACATCCATGTTTATTACAGGTCATGCAAGCACCTGAGGCTGCTTTGCTTTCTCTGCCTTGCTCTTCACATATATAACATGTCTTTGGGGGGAAAAACAATATTGTAATTAGTATACAATTTGCTTTAAGCAGTTTAAAACTTGACAACAAAAGAGTAACACTGAACAGTTCTTCTGTTTTCAGACATGTTATTTTACACTGAATGTGACCTCCATCTGAGTATTCTGTAAGAGTTCCCAATTCTGTATCCATGCAATAAACTGTTTCTACTACTGACCATACAGCACTGGCAAATACATCTATTGTATGGTAGATTTTCACACTTACAGGATATAGTCCCAGAATCCCAGACCGGTTGTTCTGACATCTGTAGTTATGAAAACCTTGAAAAGATCCACTGTTACACCCCTTGTAGTTTTCCTACCACACAAATAGATTGGCAGATAATGCTGTCAATATGGCACTGCCCCACACCTTGCAACATCTTGAATCCCAAGAGACCTGTGCACAAATTCTTTTTGTAGGGTTCATCTCAGCATTCAATACCATCATTTCAGAAATTCTTCACTCCAAACTGATTCAGCTAGCTGTGCCTGCCCCTACTTGTAGTGGATTACAAGCTTTCTGACAGATATAAAGCAGCAGGTGAAGCTAAGGAAAATCACATTGAATATCTGAAACCTTCAGGGCTTTGTACTCTTATCCCTTAACTCTTTTCTCTGTATACCGATGACTTCATCTATAAGGATCCCTCTGTTCAAGTACTGAAATTTGCAGATGATACAACAGTCATTGGTCTCATTTGAGACAGTGATGAGTCTGAATATAGACAGGTTGATGAAGAACTGGCCCTGTAGTGCAGCCTGAACAATCTGGAGCTGAACATGTTTAAAACTGTAGAAATGAGGGTGAATTTTAGGAGCACTCCAGTGGTGGGTTCCGGATCCCAGTGCAACTGGGCCAGGTGCCCACCACATGAATGTGCAGTGCATGTGCACACATGTGCAGCTCATGCACACGTACTTACCACCCGCGATGCTTCGCAGCACTCCAGCTGCTCAGCGGAGCATTGCGCACCTACTCCATGCGCCTGTCCGGAAGCCCCCAAAACTTCAAATACTGGTAAAGAGCGTGGGCCAGAGGGAGGGCAGGCTCTCCGGAGCACTATACCAGAACGGTACCTGGTGCTTCTGGCAGGCATCAATACGCCTGTACCAGGGCGTACCCGGTCATAACCACTGGAGCACTCCTATTCTATCAGTGACCCGTCAAAACCGCGGACGACAAAAGCGCGCTCGACGAAAGCAGCGTGACAAAAAAATTAAAAAATAAATTAAATTAAAATTAAAATTAAATTAAAGCAAGCCAATTCACATAAAGGTAAGGGTTAGGTTTAGGGTTAGGTTAAGGGTTAGGGTTAGGTTTAGGGTTACGTTAAGCATTAGGATTAGGTTTAGCGTTAGGTTAAGGGTTAGCGTTAGGTTTAGCGTTAGGTTAAGGGTTAGGTTTACGGTTAGGTTTAGGTTTAGGTTAAGGGTTAGGTTTAGGGTTAGGTTTGGGGGGGTTAGGGTTTTCGCTTTAATTTTAAATTTTCCGATCACAGCGCGATGTTTTTGTCGCGCTGTGATGACGTCACGTACGCGCTTTCGTCGAGCGCGATTTTGTCGTCCGCAGTTTTGTGGTGGAACCATTCTATCATGTCTTACTATATTAGATAACACAGTATCAACAGTAGATTTCTTCAGGTTTTGGGGTTCTATAATTTCCCTGGATTTGAAATGGACACCTAATATTAAAACCATCATTATAAAGGCACAACAAAGAAGGTTCTTCCTGTGTTAACTCAGAAAGTTTTGACTGCCCCAGGACCTGTTGATACATTTATACAAACAATTTATAAAATTTGTCATTTATATTTCTATAACTGTCTGGTTTGATACGGCAATCAGGAGAGGTACAAACTTCAACAAATAAGACTGCAGAAAAAATAACTTCAATCAGCTTGCCTTCCATTGAGAGTTGTATATTGCATGGGTCAGAAGGAGAGATGAGAAAGTATCTACAGACCCCTCACATCTTGGACATAAACTGTTTCAACTCCTCTCCTTGGAACACTGCATGCCAACATAACTACACCTAGAGACAGCTTTTTTCCCTCTTGCCATCATTCTGCTGAACTCCTAATCCCCACAGTAATTAATGTCTTATGTATAAATATATTTATCCATGTAATATGGCTATATTACTATTATCCCCATCTTTTCTACTACTTCCTCTTTTTTATCATCATTATTACTTTGTTGTTTTTCCAAGTACACTGAGAACTTTTGCACCACAGAAAATTTCTTTGTGTGTCTAATCACACTTGTCCAAATAAAGCATAGCATAGCATTGCATAATAGCAAGGGTTCCCAGTCCCAGGAGATGGCTCACTATCAGATTGTGGCCTATTTGAAACCAGACCACATGAAAAATGGACAAGTGCCTGTGCGTGAATCTCCACTCATACAAGTGGCAGGCAAGCACATGTGCCTGTGTGAAGCTCCGCTTGTGTGAGCAGAGCAAAAGTGCCCTCCGCTCACAGAGTGGAGCTTTGCCCACAAATGTGAATGGAGCTACATGCACGAGCGCATTCTGCTTCCACAACTTGAGCTTCTTGTGCGATTACAAGTTTCTGCTGCTCATGCAAGTAGAGCTTCGGGCACAAATACAAGCATCCTACACTTCTATATGAAGTACCATTTTCACAAGTGGAGAATGAGTGTGTGTACTACTCGTACAAATGGGCATGTATGCTCTGGACTGGGTGCCAAACTGAAAAGACCAGTGCTGTGCAATGCAGTGCAGTGCAGTGCAGTGCAGTGCTGTGCTGTGCTGTGCTCTGTTCTATTCTATTTTATTCTATTTTCAATAGCAAATGAAACTCAACTGACTCACTGAATAAATACTATATTGCAGCAGGAACAAATGTAACACAAAAATAATTCTGCCCAGCAAGTCACAACTGATATTATTAATGTTAGTAAAATAAAAGGTATAACTTGCCTAACTTAAGTATTCATATAATTCTGTTAACTTCTTAATTTTAGTAATATGGAAGTATTCCAAAAAGGCAAGGATCAAGCACAGAGACATACCGGTAGATGTGTAGGTGGTTTCAAATGCATAAGCACAAATGAGGTCAATTCTACATATTGAAAACTTTTTTTTCCATAAAAACTTCAGGAATATGTAATATATTGTATATTGACTCCACAAAAACTTCAAACAACATAAATAAATCTCCCAAGATCACTGAAAAGATTACATTCTGGAAAATCAATTCTTGATATTTTATAGTTTTTAGAGTTATTATCTCAAATAAAGCTTCTGCCTTGTGCATAAGTGCACAAGAAACCCTTATACTTCAGACTTATTCGTACGCTACATTAATGCAATGATGAAACATGAAAAGAATCTTATTATGCCAATGTATAATGTCTAAAGTTCATCAAATAATAATAGAGGAAAATATTTGTAGCTCATCAGATAAGTCAGATGAATTTTGTCTTTGGAGGAAAAAAAGTTTTATTGGGTATACAGGCTGGTGCTTTATGTATTTATTTGGTCTGCTTCTTAGTGCAGTTCAAGGTATTCTTCTGACCTTTAAAGCCCTTAACGGCATAGGTCCTGATAAACTGCTTTGGCCCCCTAAGCCCATCCTTCTCATGCAAATAGAAAGGACCTATTTCTCTTTAGTCTCTAACTATCGGGAACCAGAAGAGCTTTCTTAGCTGCAGTGCCTGCCCTTTGGAACAGATCCAAGGTAAGACATGCTCTCCTCCTTCCACAAGAGCCTAAAATCTTAGCTCTGCTGAGAGGCCTGGGGGCCAAATGGTGTTCCAAGCTGGAGGTGGCTGCTGGATTGATGGCAGACTCCACTGATCTCCAATCATCCATCTTCTTGGTTAACATATTGACATATTCTTGTTGTGTTTATTTTATTGTTCTATTATTTAATTTCTATTCTGTTTGCACTTTAATTTTCTTCCTTTTATTATTGTAAACCACCTAGAGTAGCCCCATGGCCAGAAAGGTGCAAATAAATTAAACATAAATAAATTTGTAGCTTATGTAAATACTTTGAAAATGAAAATTTCAAAGATCCTCTAAAGATGGTAATAGGCTATTTGAAAGTACTGTTCAAATATACTGGAATTCTCAATAATATACATCTCAATTAATTGTTTCATTACATGAACAATAAATGCTGATTGTAGTAGGCAGCATATTTTTCTTCAAAAAATATTCCATTGTAATCCATAATTAGATATTTGTCAAATGCATTCTTTCCATTCTTCTTGATAATATCTGACTAATCTATATCTATTTTTATTATATTATGAAATGTAAATAAACATTTGTGCCTACTTTTCTGATATAAAAAATCTGATTTATAAGGAAGTTTTTCAAATATCACAAGTTGAATTTGGACAGTTGCAGGCCTACATTTACGATCTTGCAAGTAACTATTGAGAAGTATTGTAGTAAAAGATGGAAGATGTAATTATGTTCCTTGCGGCATATACAAATATAGGCAGTCCTCGTGTTACGAATGCAATGGAGCCTGCCTATTACATTCATTCATAACCCGAGTATTCGTGGGAGTGAATCCCATATCTTGAACATAATTACTCTCTTCTTTCACATTCACTAATTGAATGCGCAGTTTGTTAAGTGCACATGAGGTATTTCAGGGTGAGGAAGGCCAGGGGGACCTAGTGATGGAACAGGCCACTTTCTTAAGACCACCGAAGGCCTCCCCGATCCACTGAAATACCTCATGCTCCCCAGAATTCTCCCCCAACCTGCTGCATCAGGTCACTTACCATGTGAAGATATAACAAGCTGTCTCCTCTCAAGTCTCTCAGCCGCACATGCCCCTCCACAGATGCGTTTTGGTGTGCGCAAGCTCCTTCACTAATTTGCTAGCCAAAATGGAGGCTTGAAGAGGCAAATTCACCCTTCCGAACCTCTGTTTTGACTTACAAAGTGCAGAGTGGAGGAGAATAGATAGGATGAATGTTGCAGAACCTCTGTGG